TGAAAGCATACCTAAGGAAAGGCAATTATGCCACATTTCCATATACTAGTAAAACCTGGCACTCACTGCCAAAATAAACAGCAATGATCACTGGCAGCTTGACTTCTGAATGGTTCTGTTTCAGTTAGGTGCCACCATCTACTTTGGATTGAGGCAAATGGAATAGAGCTAGAGACCAGAGCAGAGAGTCAGTCCTTCAGTCTACTGAGGATGGCAGAAGTAAGAACAGGAATGGGGGGGGAAGGGAGAGAGAGAGAGAGAGAGAGAGAGAGAGAGAGAGAGAGAGAGAGAGAGAAATGAATGCTATAGGCCGAGTATACAAGGTCATGTGCTAATTCTAAGAACTTTCAACTCACATGGTTTTTCAGTAATGAGGGATATGACACTTGCCCCTAAGCATGAATGTCACTTGGTAGAAGTAAATGTGTGTCAGCACAGAGAAAAATGCCCAGAACAGGAACTGGAAGACCTTTGAGCTACTTAGACCAAGACAACCTATCATTTAGACAGTCTTAGAATCTCTACCATTTATTGAAACAAGATCTATTTTGTGAAATGCTATCTAAATTTGGAGAACAACCATTATAGTAGTCATTCAATATAACTCTAAGGATGGTCTATAGTCAGTTACCCTACAGGACTATTTTAAATACATTTATTAAACATCATCACTTAAGTCAACGTCTGATTGATAATAAGTTGCTTAAATAAATAACAAATGAATAAAGTCTCTCCTCTCAGAAACATTTGCTACTTAATTCACAATAGATGCCTGAAATAGTGAAGGAAAATGCTATGAGAATAGTAAAGTTCTTCCTAAATGTGTTCAGTACATTTTAATCACCAGTTGTCTTAAATATTTTGCACTTGTTCCTTTCCAAAGACCAAGAATTCCTTGTATTTTACATATTTTAGTATTGTTGCCCATCACACACATAGGCAAGTTGTTGCTGAAAAGCTTCAATGTTTAAATTGAAATAAAACTTATGCTTACAATGGTAAATATTCCTGGATTAATAGAGTTGCAGCAGACAGACTCTTAAAATTGACTGAAGTCTGTGATATTAGAAAGACAGAAAATTTATCTAGTTTTAGCAAATGTCAAATCAGCAGCTATTGCTTTTAAGATTAATAAAAGATATAATGGTTTCTAGATAGCCTCTAAATAGAGATTACTATGAATGGAGAAGTGATTTACCAACAGTCACCACAATGAGATTTCTTTAAAGGTTACAATCATCAGTTATTTAGCTGAAACACTGCTGAGAATGCATGGTCATTTCTTGAATAATGCATAATGTTCATTGTAGATTTGATCTGTATTATAATAATACAGATATTTCTAAAATAATGGAAAAAACTATCTGTTACCTTCCAATTGCTTAACATATCATTTCCATGAAGTAATTGACTTGGGACATATTACACACTGTCACCTGAGTGTTCTTTCTGGAAGCATAACTTGTAATAATCGTATACAATGGGCATCACAAAACAAACTCATCAACCTTTATAGACTGTTAAGAAAAGATGTGATGAATACTTTACAGGGCAGAGTGAAGGACCTTTCTGAAGCAGTAAATTAAAATGATTAAATTTCTATATGGTTGTGTGGGACAAATGTAAATTTAAGCTTTGAAATTTAATTATTAACATAATCAACTCATCATATTAAAAAAATGTTACCGATACAGTGTAAGTACTTTTCATATAAATTTCCAATGCCTTTAGGTTTATTCAAGAGACTGCTTGGAGAAGCACGAAGTATAATGTCTATCGTTTTATTGTTGGATTATGAACCGCACTTCACATGATGCTGCAGGCTATTTATATAAGCTTGCTTATCCATGTGAACTTCTTCAAGGGCACAACATAGAAGACCTTAATAAATTAAAGTGAATTTCTTTTGATGTTGTTGTTTCATGAATGTTTGATCAGAATGAGTAGCAGTTTTGCATTAAAGAACTAGAGTAAAGCAATCAAATGTACACATATTGTACAGTTGAGCCAGCTTACTGAAAGAGCTCACTGCATGTCTAGCAAATTTGAGAGCCAAGGTAGACAGTATGGAATCATTATGCTTATATCTTCATTTCTAGTCTATCACTCATTTCCTATAAACAAAAGTGCACTGTACCAACTTAGATGCTCTGCCATCATCATGTTGGAATTTTAAAAATAATAAAAATCTGTTATCTCCTTCCAGGCTCCTACCTTCCTATTCTTCTCAGTGAAGAATGCCCTTCCAAAGACTGCAACACCCATGGGGGCAATGACCAGGCTTGATCTTATTTTTATCTGTCTTAATCATAGTAAGAAGCTATAGAGTTGCACTGATTGAAGGCTACAAACTAAAAATGAAGTATTAGTCACAGTATAAAGCTGAAAAAATTCTCACTTGGAATATTTGACGGAGACACAAAACAAATAGTAATGACACAAAAGTGACAGAAAGAACAGTAATAGAAACGCAAGGAAGCTGGATTCTTCCCTTAGATATGCTAACATTTAACTTCAAAGTTGTTTCCACATACTTTCCTCATCTATAAAATGGGGGGAAAGTTCTCTAGGACCCATAAGTCTGAATATCTAAAAGGCCATGATTTTAAGAGTAAGCTGGACTATCACATCATAAAAGAAGGGACAGACAACAGAATCATCAAGTGTTTCCACTTTGATAGCCATCTCTACCAAGAAGGCCTATTCACTGCAAGATAGAAATAAAAGATAATTATGTAAAACAAATAAGTCCAGTGCATCAATTTATTTCACACTGAATAATAATGATCATAAGTTTTCCACATTGTGTGATTTCTAACCTGTTGCACTCATCTTTTCAACTTACGTGATTTGGAATAAATATGAAGATAGCCTGTGCCTCAAATTAAAGTAAAAAATAAATCTAAGGTATATATACTAGGATTATATTCACAACTTTAGCTTGGGAAAATTCACTAGTAATTTAGTTTCTAGAACATGGACTAGTGTGTTCCCAAATTTATATCTACACGTTCAAAGGCAGAAGTGCAGTAAAAGGACAGCAGGGGTGTGCCTGGGTTTCTTTATCCTGGGCTACGTTATACTGACATCCTGCCTGGAGAACTGCCTTTATTGTGTGTTCTCCTCAACCTTGTATGTCATTCTTATATTCTAGGACAGCGGACTGCAAACTATGACTTGTGGGACAAATTTGGTGACTGCTGCCTGTGTTGTAAATACAGTTCTATCAGAACACAGCCACATCCTTTAATTTATATATTATCTATGGCTGATTTTGCGATATAATGGCAGAGTTGAGTAGCCCCAAAAACCTAAAATGTTTACTATATGGCCCTTTATATAAAATGCTTGCCAACCATGGCTCTAAAAGAAAATAGCCTAGTAAAATTTAAGTTCTAATTTTTTCCTTATATGCATACACAATCCCCAGGTAACACACTAACACATATATGTACCAATATCACAGCTCTTAGCATAAAATTGTAAATAATCACTGCTTTTGACCCTTCGTTTCAACCTCAATCCTACAAAAGATCACACCTCCCCACTAGCACTTTTCCTGTAACAGTCAAGAGTACAGAGACTTTTCCAAAGGTAGTTGGCAAAGTGCAATCACAGAATTGAAGAACTTAATCACCCCTCCCCTCAGAGGAGGCTGCCTGCAACTCCCCAAAATGCCCAGTTTTATTTTATGCTAATTAAGGGTCTAGATACAGCTTTGGAATATAAGAATCTAGCAAATCCATTAGGTACTACCTCTTGAATAACACACCTTTAAAGACAGAAAACCCGGAGGAACTCAAATCATTCTACAAAAAAGGCACTTGCACCCATATTTTTATTGCAGCACTATCCACAATAGCAAAAACATGTAACCAACTCTGCTGCCATCGAAAGTGGACTGGACAAAGAAAATGTGGTATATATACATGATGAAGTGTTGCACAGCCATAAAGAAAAACAAAATTAGATGAATTTAGAGTCCATCATACTCAATGAGCTATCACAGAAACAAAGAACTGAATATCACATGTTCTCATTCAAAAGTGAGTCTTGAACATTTATCACAATACTATAAGAGAGAGGTCAGCAGTGACAGGACACTTCCAGGGGAAGTGAGGGGCAGTGGTGATGGGGGGAACACATAACATCACTAAAGGTACCTGATCCTAAACCAGGGGAAGCGAGGAACAGTTGGAGGCCCAAACTTCACCTGCACATACATTACTTATGTACCTAATCCTGACTTTTTTTAAATAACAAAATAAAGTTAAAAAAAAAAAGAAAACCAATGGCCAACACTACATATGCATCAATAAATACATGCATGTATATTTAAATGCTAAAAATGCCATAAATTACTTGGAGTCTCAGGAACACACAAGAAAATACCTGTCTTAAGTAACAGGATGAAAAAGACCTAACAGTTAAAAATACTAAGTTGTAAGAGTAACTACATCAAGGATTTGAAGAACAAGTACATGTTCACGTTCACAGCTTTTTTTTTTTTTATGTTTACAGAGAAATGTGAAACACTAATACATGGATTGAATCTTTTTGGTCAATAAAATGATTAACTCAAAATGCTAAAGGTGGACTCTGCTCCCTGTCTCCCTTTGGTAACTTAAGGCAGAAAATATGAGTTCCACCCTTTAACAGACATTACCACACTCCACCCATCAAGAAGAATGTGCTTATATTAGAACACACACTAACCCAAGAAGTACTCTAATGTGTCATTTCATGCTCACATTTCTAAAATCTTCTATAAATGATAGCATTTTAGGCTGACAGACTTTGTGAAAATAAATTGAAATAGAAGAAGAGGTTTATTTCACCTTCACATGGTGTCTTTCTCATGCAGAGTTCAGATTTCCACATTTGTATCCCTTTAAAGGATTTGATATGCGGGAAAAGAAGAAAGGATGATGGTAAACATTTTATCTGAGAGATGCCTATAGACCATCATATTCAGACTTGAACAGTGGCCTGAAACTTACCTTTTACTGATGTGTTAGGTGGAGGGCCTTCCATTCGCAAGTTCCATGGAGGGTCCCCTTGGTTAGCAAAGTCCCTCATTTTCAGATAGCTAATTGTAAGTCGGATGATGGATGCCTTGTCAAGCTGGCTGGTGATGGCTGCAGGAAGAGGCAACAACTTGGCCAATTCATAGAACTCAAAGTTTTCTTTTCCCCGGCGGGAGCGAGCGGCATCTCGGGATTTCTCCTTTCTCAATGCTTGTAAACTAAAACCAAAGAAGTAGGAAAAAGTTGTTTAGAATATGAGATTTTGTCATCAGCAGAACTGATTTCTATTTCTACCAAAACCTACTTCATAATTCGAAAGTGATAGTAAAATGATTCCATACAATGTGTACTAAAACCATAAATTCCACCTTTGGCATTATATATCACAAACTCAAGTCTAGTGAGTGAAAACTGTGTTTTCCTTGTTAAGGTCTCCCCCCCCCGCCCACTGCCAAATGTACACCATTGAGATATATGCAGTGTTTCTAAAACATAACATAAGGTTTACAGGTATAGGCGATGTGATCAACTAAAAGCAATCTAAAAGAATGGATTTGTATCCGTATATCTATTCTTTTTTTTTTTTTTTTTTTTGAGTTGGAGTCTCCTCTGTCGCCCAGACTGGAGTGCAGTGGCCGCTCCCGGCCACCGCAGCCTCGACCTGCTGGGCTCCGGTGATCCTTCCGCCTCAGCCTTCCAAGTAGCCGGAATTACAGGCATGTGCTACCACGCCCGGCTGATTTTTTGATTTATTGTAGAGATGAGGTCTCGCTGCCCAGGCGGGCCTCGAACCCACGGGCTCAGGCAGTCCACTCACCTCAGCCTCCCAAAGGCGCGGGATTACAGGCTAAGCCACTGAGCCCGGCTCATATATCTATTCTTAAGCTAATGATTTTATTTTTATTTAACTTTCATCACTGTGGAATCTAAAACAAAGGGAAATATTTTGCAAAATTTATTTCAATTATCATTTGGGGGAACAAAAGATAAATATAAATACAATTCACTGACAGAATCAACAAATACAATGATATGTCTTCAGTCCTGAGTAAGGATCATGACACCTTCAGTCAGACAAAGAAAACATCATATCTAAAATGAAGATTTCAGTGTGACTTTATGTGCTGATACTTGGCTGATAAGAGAAGACTTTAATTATTTATTAATTGATATATATTAGTAGATGGATACATTTTCTAAGATACTAGAGAATAAAATATATTGCCCAGAAAAGTTAAACTTTAGGATAATATAAATTTAATGTTGTAAGATAAAGCCCTGTATGGGTTATTAAAATTTATAAACATTATAGACATATTACTCCCCAGAAGAGGCAACAGGTGGGAGCCAGCATTTTCCTTTAACTATTCATGTGCATTTCTGTTTGAAGTTTGCTCACATTGCTGAGGGCAGAATCTGGCACAACTGAAGTTGTGTGTGAGCATCTGACAGAATTCCACCTACTCTGAATTGCTCTGCTTTGTGTCTGACGAGAAAGACATTCTAAAATCAGACCCTAATGATAAGTAACTGGATATTATTTACAGTATCAAGGTGCTATTAAATAATCTTATATGCTCATTTTATTGAACTCAGAAGCCATTTCAAATCTTTGAATCTAGCATTCTTTAATTATGAAATGACAAGAGAGAAACCAGAAAAAAAGCAAGACCAGAGGAATAGATCAAAATGGGTTCCTCTGTGTGGCGCCATTCTGTATTAATATGGAGAATAACATTTCATATTACATTATAGCATTCCTGACATTGTTCCAGTGGAAACCCTGTAATCACTGCTGACACCCATAATATCTTACAGAATATCTATGTAATTTAAGTAGTGCCATAATGCTCTGGTCAGATACTTGCTAGGCTAATACCCCAACCAGATTTATGTTTGCTCTATTAATAAGATATTCTACATTATCTAACTAATGTATTTCTTAGAATTAGACAAGTTAATGCTATCATTTTCAGAGTCACAGCAGTGTCAGGTGACAAACCTTTGTCTCGTGATATACCTCAAGTGATAACCTCAGGCAGAAAACATAACTCATGTACAAGGAAAAGATGTGTTATATCGTTTATTTCCCAATATCTTGGCCAATCTCCATTTGATTCTACAAGTCCTCAATTTTGGCTTGTTGAAAGCTATTTAAGTAGACTGAGAGATGCCTTAACATCTGCCAAAGTATAAGTATAACCAGAATCCAGGTTAACATCTTGGGATAAAAGAATGGTTCACATTCCCCCCCTTTATATAATAAAAGCCATTTATCCAACAAGTACATCAGCTGTGCCAAAATAACTAGGTCTCTTGACATATTTTCTCCACCACTTGTTCACAGGGGAAGGTGCAGTGGTTCAAGTTCAGTGCTTTGCTCTTTTTGTGTTCTTGCTATCAAATACTACTCCAGAAAGTGGGCTAAACTTACTTTTTTTTTTTTTTTTGGTCCAGTAAGTGACTATGATGGAGCTCTAGAGCAGGGGTTACAAATTCAAGGGCTTTCGGGGTTAAGGTGGGGAATGTCAATGAGTAAAGAGGCCTGATGGAGACTCTGGGAAACTGGAGGAAACTGACTTTAGCAAAAGGACAGCACAGAATTTCAGCTGATTGCTGCTTTAGGGAAAGGCATGCCTGGTGCTGCCAGATTTCTGGTGTGGTCACTTCTAGAGACTAAAATCTGAATTTTCATAATGACATTTTTAAATTGTAGTATTTTAAGTAATTAAAAATTTTTTAAATTTTGCAAGCCAAAAAAAACACGCCATGATTAAACATGGATCAGGGATCCATTTTACAATTAGGTAACAATTTGGTCAATTTGAAAGGTAGTTTCACATGAGCATTATGTCATTTTCCTTCATGCACATCACTCAGATAATCACAAATGGATTCATTTACAAATTCACCTAATATATACAAATTCTCTCCTCAACTGATGCAAAGTAGAGGATCAAGCAATTATTCTGAAACTGATTTTAACATACAGGCTAATCAGTAATCTAAGGGAAAAAAATAAAACATATGGGGACAAAGCCCAAGATCATAGGGATCAACCCAATAAAGATAAACAGAGGGGTGATGGCTTTTCTACACACACTCAGGGAAGTCAGCAGACACAAATGCCCTGGATCTTGTACCTAAACACTGTCCTCCGATGTTTTCTTACTTTTCTAAAATAGCATCCAATCTCCTTGTTGTTTTCTTCTGTCCACCCTCTCTCCCCCACCCCTCTACAAAACACACACACACACACACGCACATACACACACACACACACACACACACACACACACACACACACACTAATACACACAATATCTCCATACCAGGGTAATTTTCTTGGCTATCATCTTTACAACAAAATGTTTCCACAACTCCCACACCATATCACTATGCGGGTACCATAGTTCAGAAGGCTTTTGGAATGATATCACTGTGTATGGAATAAGTAGTAACTGGTTTTGTGGGCAACAGCAATAAAATACACTGAAAGGATTAGAAAGGTTGTTGAGATGTTGGTATAATAGATGAAGCTAAAGACCTTTATACAGATTGTGGATTAATCTTTCCCTTGCTTTTGTAAAGTGGATGTAAGTAATTTTCAAATTCAATTAAGGAAAATATTAAAACCAAAAATAAAATTTGTATTTAGTTCTAAATTTTAAAAAAGTGGTTACATTTCTGGAATACTAAAGATAGACTGGTTTTACATGAGTAAAGGGTTATAGTGCTAATCTCTGCCATCTAAAACATGATTAAACTTCAGATCCACAATTAGTTACTTCCCCGGCCTAAACTTCTCACTGCTCTAATGTTCTTTCATTTTAGACTCTGGATAGCAGGAAAAGAGTCTCTTCATTACAACTTTCTTTGATAACTACATTATCGACCTCACCAATGATTATCACCACCAACAAAAAGCAACAAAATAAACAATTTCCAAAGACACACACACACACACACACACACACACGCGCGCGCGCATTTCTGGACATCATATGCAAAATCGTGTGTATATTTTTGGGAGACAGTGAGTTTTAGATTCTCAAAAGTAGTCCATTACTCCAACCAAAAGCTTAATTATCTAATATCTAGAATTTCCTCCTGTAAGAACATGGATTGTGAGCTACATTGCCTGGGTATAAATCTTGGCTTTATTACTTACATAGTATGTAAACTTGAGGCAACTTCTATTGCTCAGTTTTTCTCAACTGTGAAAAGGGATGGCAACACTCTTTATTTTATATGGTGGTTGTCAGAATTAAGATAAATGAGATGTTTTTATAAAATCTTTACAATGGTGCCTGGCACATAGTAATACCATGTAAGACATGTTAACTGAAAACCTAAGCTTGCTTCACACTGATCATTCTATGTTTTGAATGTGCACAATTCTCATTTATAATATGCACTTTCCTCTCACTAATATAATTTCTATGTCTTGGTACTGACATATCACATCACGTACTTAAGTAAACTAAAACTCCTTTATTGCAGAGATACTGATTTTTCTTTTTATTCTAGTACTCATAATATCTATGGTCTAGCCATTGTATACCACAGGTGTGCTTAATGAATTGTTCAGATAAAAAATACATGTGCTTAACAGAAGCTTAAAGGTTTCTAAGTATGCTTTTGTACAAGATAGTAGGGAGTCATTTTGTAGTATACTAAAGCAGAAAAGATGACACTAATTGCAGGGCAAACAATTTTGTTTATATTTATTTTAAATACAGCATCTTGCTCCGTCATCCAGGCTGGAGTGCAGTGGCATAATCATAGCTCACTGAAGTCTCAGACTCCTGGACTCAAGTAGACCTCCCACCTGGTCCTCCCAAGTAGCCAGGACTACAGGTGCATGCCACCACACCAAGCTAATTTTTTTTCATTTTTGTAGAGATGGAATCTCTCTAGTTGCTCATGATGGTCTCAAATTCCTGGGCTCAAGTGACCCTCCCACCTTAACTTCCTAAAATGCTGGGATTACAGGTTGAGTCACTAAACTCAGTCAATTTTGTATATATTTAAAAATATCATATCTAAATAGCTATTAACAGAACAGACTACTTGGGAAGACTGTGAAAATGTCTATGGAAGACTTTTAAATGGAAATAATTATTAATCAAAAAGAACATATGTGTAGTCCTAGAAAAAAGATGATCTTTCAAAAATATCTTCCAAAAGGTCACAAATCTAAAAGTTCTCTTTGAAG